ACAGCATCTTGTTGTTGTACCAAGGTCAAACAAGTCTACGAAATTAGTATTAATTGCGACCAGATTTCACGCCATGGCAACAAAGACGTCAAGGAAAACACCATAATAAGTCCGTGAAATATTTATGGATTCGTATAGATGACAAATTTCGTTGTAAACAGCTTTCTGAGAGGTTTTAATCGTACACCAGTGGTAGATAGTGTATATTGTTGACAGAAGAAAATCATCAGGCAGTAGCCCGGGGAGTATGGGTACGACAATTCTCCAACATCCGGTTCTTTCAGCGCATGCCTCAGGTAATGCTTCCGCTTCCTGTAAACAGTGACTGACGCATAGTAAACGAAATTTCGAAGATGGGGGGAGGCGATTTGGTACGATTTTCGCCAAATTTTACAAAAACGTTCACCTTTGAGACAGTTTAAGAACAAATAAGAAGTGTTGGATAATCATTTGATTGTTTGCTTTGTTTCAAACAGAATTTAAAGAAGAGCTGGCATCCACAGACGTTACGAAATGTGGAGAAAGTATGGAAAGCGGAGCAGAAAGCCGAGGCAGAGTCGAAGAAAATCGAACAGCTGCGAAAAGAATTGGAGGAAGAGAGAGCTCGGGAAGAGATGCAGAGACATGCTGTGCAGCAAGGAATAGCCAAGTGAGTGTGGAGAGGAAGAAATAGTTATGAGTGTGGCGCATGGCGACAACTTCTCAAATTGGATTCTTTATTGTAACTCAACCGAATAATTGTTTTTGTTTTCATTAGATTTTCTAAGCGTTTTTTTAAGCTAAGGTTTTGATGGTTAATCGATATGTATAATTNCCATATTTTAAGATCAAAATCTAAGGAATAGTAGGGCGAGTTTTAGCTCAAAAACCAGTTAATTCGGTTTAGTTTCCTTACATTTTTATAATTTGTTTGAATTTCAAAACTATTATTAATATCTCAATCTTGAATGTAAACACAGCAAACAAAAACCAGTTTTTTGGAACCAATAACTACAGAGACTTTCAAGAAATGGGCCCAGGGCTCAAACTTGGACTGCTCATTCAACTTATTCTAGAGACCAGCGTGCTCACTGTAAGTTTACCGTGCCTCCCACTTCTTTTGTCATGTTAAATTGATCTTTTAAACTTGATAATTATTCTTGGTACACATGTTGGGACAGCAGAACATACTGTTTAGCAGAGGTGCTGAAAAGGTAGGAATAGGGGACATTGAGGGAATGGTTGGTTAAATTAACACAAGTAATGGAAATCATTCTTATTAAGGACTCTACCGCGCCAGGGGCATCCTTCATGAATGACACTGGAGCCAACTCTGTGAATGACTTGGCAGCCAAGGTGCGCGATGATCCTCTGTTCCTCATCAAGAAGAAAGAGGAAGAGAAGAGGAAGGAACTGCTTCACAATCCAGTGAAGATGAAGCAGTTGAAACAGATGCTTCAAGCTAACTTGGAGAAGTCAAAGAAGAAGAAAAAGGACAAGAAAAAGAAGAGTAAGAGAGAGAAAGAAGGGAAAACAAAGAGGAAGGAGAGACATGTGGAGAGAAGTGATGAATCTGAAGAAGAGACAAGGGAAGTGGCCAACCAAAATGGAAAAATAAGAAATGAGAGTCACAGAAAGAGAAGGGGTGATTCAGAAGAGGAAATGCACAAAATGGCAAAAGAAAACAAGAAAAGGAGGAATAGGAGGCACAGGGGGAGTGACAGTGAGTCAGAAGAAGATGCAAGGGAAAGAACAAGAGAAAACAAGCAAAAGAGACATGAAGAAGAAAGGGGAGAAATAATGAATGGGACTCAAAGGAATCATCATCGAGAAATGGAGAGGTAACCTTTACCCTTTGACTTTTATTGCATATTTTTCTTTAGCCTTGAACTAGATAGAGAGAAAGAAGAGATCTGTGGAAAGGCAGAGGTGGGGCTGTAGTTACGTTAAATATTATATATGAGGACTTCAATACTAAATTTGAAGGGAGGGATTTTTATTCACAAAATTAAGTACTTATTTATTTCTTGGGGTACTCTGTTTGAGGTTAAGGTGATGTAGTGCCTTGCTAAATTATCTTGCAGGTCTCAAAATACATTTTGTTGTGGGATTCCAGTGATCTAATCCCACCAAGATGCCAAAATGTTCCTGCAGTAAGAAACTAAGTTAAACGTTGTTGATCATTTACATGGGGAAACTGGTTGGTTCAAAGTTTGGTTAAATGGTGAACAAAAATCCCAAATAGAAGTTCCAGATGGGATTTACTAGAGAATTCTTAGTCTACTTAAGAAATCGAATGTGGTGTAGCATGGTCTGTACTCTTATGGACAATGATATGCATCATCACAGTGGTCAAAATTTGTTGTGGACTCACTCAGCTGCACCTCATGAGTCCACAATGATGACGCGTATCATTGTTGATACGAGTTCAGACCGCGCTAAACCACATTTGGATTTTGTTTTTTTACCACAATATCAACGTCAAAAGAAAATGTTTTTTTCAGAGCACGAGCTGAAAAAGGCATTGCATGACACATTGACTCGAGCAGCGTTGTCTGGACTCTTATCAACAACGGCAAATTAGCCAATCAGATTGTGAGATTAGTAGCAATTGTGGTAAAAAAATAATTTTGATGTTTCTCTTACTCTGTAAAGAAGTAGAGTTGATGAAGAGGTTGAAGGAAGAGGAAACCATTACAGAAATGGAAGCCATCACACTAGTAGACACAGGTAGGAATAACTGATGTAAAGGAAAATAATGTTCATATTTTCACGTTGTCTAAGTGAAGGTAACAAATGTATGAAACTCCAAAGGCTTTCATAAGACAATGGGCAGGTAGTTTGGCTATGTCCAATCTCAGAGAGGCCGACCTAGAAATATCAAAATCCAGGAGATCACCAATTTTAGGTTTTTTGACCATAAAAAGAGTTGTTCAAAGAAAAGTTCTGCTAATTAAACTGCAAAAATGCATCAAATATCCAAAATATTTTCCCCCAAAAATGCCAAAAATCATCCAAAATGTCCGAAAAATGTTTTAAGCGCTTTCATTTGTATTGTCCGGGAGCTTGGTGACCCGTATGGAAGACTGTGAGAATTTGTATTTTGAGCAACTGTGGATGCTCTACTTCTTTAGGTATCCTGAGAAAAGAAGGCCTCAAAGACGATCACGTTCAAGATCACTAACGACAAGGAGAGAGAGTGGTAGGAAGGACGACAGAAGACACAGACATAACTCATCGTCTTCACCTTCAAAGGACAGGAGACACGGATCCCGATCTCCATGGAAAAGAAGAAGTCGTTCGCCTGTACACTCACCCCCCAGGAAGTCACGCAAATCTCCTTCTCCTGTTAGAGAAAAAGCATGGCAGAAAGGGGGGTCTGCGGTCACTAAGTAAGTTTACTGGCTGAATTTGTAAGTGACTAAGACTAAGAACGCCATTTTGTACTTCCGAGCTAATCTACACTTGACAAATTTTATCAGTGAAGTCTTCTCCCGGATGACTGTATCATTTCTTCTCCTCTAGGGAATTATTTTTTGTGTCTTGAATGAAATAAACCCTAGCCATATTTGTTTTTATATCTATGTAACAGACACATGGATGACGCTGAGAAAGAGAAAAGACTTGCAGCAATGATGGAAAATGCCAAGTAAGACTTTATTCAGCGTGTTTCATTTGACTTCCATTTGCTGAGTTTGATTAGATATTGTATCTAAACCGAGCGAATACATTTCTGTGAAATTTACTGCGCCTCACGTACAAAACCCACCATTGATTTGTTGACGTCACTTTTCCCGCCTTTTTAACATACTTTCAGCCCTTCCAGTTGCGACTGTTTAAAGTTTTCCTGCGTTGTGACACGTGGTTATTCATATCAGATACACGTTTTCTCGCGCTTTAAGCGCTGGTTACACATTTTCCCGCATTTACCACTGTCAAAATTAGTTAATGCGCGAAGTAACATACGCTAAAAGGATCACTGCAGCCCTACGTCGTCAGTATGGATAGCTCTTCATCCTCATTCTCAGAGTCCAATCTCTTCCTCAGGGTGGGAAAGAGATAGGACCTGGAAACGAGGTTGAATACGTCTTTCGAACAAAGACGTCTGTTCACCCGGCAAGAATTACCTTTAAGAAAAGCTATGTGCCATGTTTAGTCAGGGACTAGGCAAATACTGAACTTGGTGATTGTGTTCATTCAATTTTTACTTCGTGTAGGAGTTGGTTGAGTTTATTTATTCGTTCTTGCCTTTTCTAGATGGCGAGATGAGCAGCGAGGAAAGAATGTCAAACGATACAAGGTAAGTAATGATTTTCTGAGAATAATACACAGTGACTTAAATTGTGAGGTTTGCGTGACATGTGACGATAATTAATTAACGCAAACGTAAGAGGTAACGTAAGGGAGAGTGTCATAAGCTCGTGCTAAAGGATCATTTCGTCAATGAAACGGTTTATTTTTAAAAATATAAGATTTACGTTTACATTATTTACATTTACATGATTTTCAGGAGGAAGATGCGAGATTAGAGGCCAACGAAGCTTTGAATAAAGATAAAAGTGCCACGTTTATAAAGTACGTTAAGTTACTAAAACTCTAATCATACTTTTCTTGATTTCCGTTCTATCCTTCGTCGCCTCTCGTTTACCAAAACCCTGCCTGATTGTGTCACATATTTTTGTTTTCAACAGCGACATGAAGATTCAATCGTTTTCATCGAAGGCGACCTCCTCTGTTAGTGATCGTATTCGACGAAACATCAACTCCGTTCAGCGGACACCCGCCGCACTGGAGTCGTTTTTGGGAAAATAACTACGATTCCGATTCCGAAGATGGACGACAGGGGTGTGCCGAGTTCCGAAGACTGACGAAAGGGTTGTGCCGAGTTCCGAAGAGTGACGAAAAGGGTGTGCCGAGTTCCGAAGACTGACAAAATTGTTTCGCAGATTGGATAAAGGAGGGCAGTTATTGGTGGTGCTCGTCTGGTACCTCGGTGAAACTGGAGGACTGGAAACAACTCGCGCCAACTCTCGTCGATAATCAGTCCTCCGAGCTCGGCATTAAGAATTGGCCGCACGTGAAGGAGGCAAGCGGGGGGCTGGAAGCAGATTGGTAGACCGCCTGGGAGTACAAGACTGCGCCCAGCGTTGACAACAAATGTGAACACTGACGATCAAGCCAGTAAATTAAACAGTAGTAACAAACAGGTTCTTTCCTTGTAAACTGTACTTTGTATTTATCTTATTTAAATGTTTGTTTAGAAACATAAGATCTTCTTGTATAAAAATAACTGACTTTTTTATGATATAATAGTCGTATTTTGCTTCTGTTACGTTTTTACTTTTTCTTTTTAAGAAAAAGAAAACATGTACCGTGTTTCTACCGAGTTTTAGTATAAATCTACTAGCGTTCTATCACGAATGCCGTCCTCTGATTGGCTACGCTACTCACGTTCTATTCTG